TAGGATTAACTTGCGAAGTGCTCGACTAAATATGTGCGATTCAAGTTAATGTTACTAAATACACAATAGGATTAACTTGCGAAGTGCTCGACTAAATATGTGCGATTCAAGTTAATGTTACTAAATACACAATAGGATTAACTTGCGAAGTGCTCGACTAAATATGTGCGATTCAAATAAAATATTGTATAAAAAAAAAGTACAAATCTGAAAAATTAAAAGAAAATGAATCAGTGCTTATAAAGTGATGACTTTTAATGATCCCAAAGCGTGTTTACAGTTATACATTTTGGCACAAATAAATAAAACGTTTTTCACCTCGAAAACAAGCAACACAGTTACTCATATCAATTAACTTACATTACACAACGAGTTCAATTTATAAGAACAAACTTCACTGGCTGAAACTTAGCTTCATAACGGGGAAAAAAAACGAGAAAGAAAAAGGTGCTATTACATACGTACCTAAAGGTAAAGAGGCTAACAATTCCAAATTACAAGCTTAGGCCTCTCAAGTTGCGTGTAATGTTTCTGTAGTGACCAGCACATGCACCATTCTGAAATTGAAGCACTCACTCTTTCTGGAAATGATTTATTTTTCATTCTAAAACAATTACATTTTTTTTTTTCGTTGAATTCAAGGATTTATCTCCAATTAATAATAACTTAAGGGTTAAAATAAAAACAGTCATTCTATGTATTGTTAGAGAAGTGTTACTATGGAGCGTTTTGATTTGTTTCCCCGAAAGGGGGTCCGAAGGTCGCGAAGAGGGGTCACCTGTTTTAACCACTCACGCCGCTTTACAGTAGTGTGTTGTCTGTCAGTCATATAAAGATTCAAACATATTATTTGGGAATAATAATTGATTTTAATAAGTTACGAAATTTCCTGAAAAAGATCTTGTGTATTGTTTTTAAACCATTTTTGTCACGTAAAACAGTCAGTTCTACGAAATTGTGTGTATGTCTGTGTGCATGTATTCTTATAGCACTTACAATATTTTATCTAAAAAAAAAAAAGATAAACTTTCGACATATAAAGAAACAGAACCAAAACTGGTTCGTGCGAGACAATGGTGGGGAAGGAGTGAGATTACTTATTTAACCTTTCTTCTTCATTTCTCACGTTTTACATTTCACATAGGGCCATTAAACGTCTCAAGTAGCTAGTTGTTTATAAAATACTCTTGCTCTGATGTCATTTTATTTGGCCACCGATTCAGAGAAGTTTTACATACATAAATGCAAAATACCAGGCCAAAGTGCTGCGTGCAATGTGAACATGCCTTGATGGTTCCCGGACAGCTTTACCATGGAGTACAACTGGCTGATCAAAGCTCGCTTACACGAGCTAAAATCCTACGCCAGCTTACACAATTTTGGGTTTACAAACCTTAGTTTTTGATGATGATGTTGTTGTTTTTTAATCAATTGAGGGGATTTATGCTTACTTTGCACGTATTCTTTATTTTAACCACTGAACCACCAGCTTACACAATTTTGGGTTTAAAAACCTTAGTTTTTGATAATGATGTTTTAGGTTGTTTTTTTTTTTCTGAAGAAGCCTTATCAAACTGGTTCAGTGGTTAAAATAAAGAATACGTGCAAAGTAAGCATAAATCCCCTCAATTGATTAAAAAACAACAACAAATAGACACAGAGTAAAATATAATCTTTTGTCAAGAAAATTGGTATACATTTTATTGGTCTTGTTCCTAAGTGAAGCCTTCTCAAATGGTAAACATGACCAATAGCCCCATTATGTTGTAGTCACACTCAATTTATCCAGGTTATGACGTCATTAATTTATTATCCAGTACTTGTTTGGTTTCAAATTAGGTTATTTCAAGTACAAAGATATTTCATTGATTAGGTTTAAATAACAGTCACATACAATATAGCTAAACCAAACACAATATGGATTTACGTATTTGATACTTATTGAAAGTTAGTTTGTTAGTTTAGTGCCCACCGAGGGTATACAAACCCGATTTTTAGGGTTAGAAACCCTCAAGGTTACTGTTGAGCCAGTGCGGGAGAGGGGCAGCACTCAAACTATTAACCTTTTTTGTATTGCTGTTTTCGTTGATCAATGATGAAATTTATGCAAATTAATATTTTTTATGGATATTTTCCACTTATGAAGAATAATATTTTATGCAAATAAAAACTCTCGAAAACAAGCTGAGTTTATACCACAGTAATATAAGTTCTCATTAAGTTCGTCAAAGAATCAATTTTTCTTTCCTGACTCATGTATCCTCCTGGTGCCTCAGCAATAAAACTGAGGGCTTATAACGCTAAAAACCGGGTTTCGATACTCGTGATGGGCTTATTGTGTAGCTTTGTGCTTAATAACAAACAAATATGACGTTGTTAAATATTTACGGGTTGTTTCGGCTATTAATTTGTAGAATTTTGTTATTGAAAATATATAAGAAACGTACAATTGAATTTAATAGTTCCTATCAAAATTAAAACCTTGTTTCAAATTAAAAATGTCTAAATAAAACACGGTAAAAAATATTTATGAAATATTACCAAATCAAACTGTGGTAAATATTGAAGCACAAAATATGGATGGAGTTAACGTTTCCTTACCGTTGCGCTCTTTGTTTTTTGTTTTTAACAAAATGTTAATAGATAAAACAACAACATAGTTATCAACTGAGATTACGAAATCAAGTTATTTAATCTAATCATATCATGAATCTATATTAAATCTATTCACTTGTTAAACAATCATTTTCAGTGCAGGAAAAACAACAACAACAAAAACGCAATACCGAAAATTTCATAATGCATACACTTTAATATCAGGCGAAACATGGACCAATCAAAGCGTTATACAATGACAATATAACTTTCTTATTACAAACTATATGAATATCAAAATGATTTGCCGCAGTGATGATTTGAAAATTCGTAAACGACTAATTACGAGGAACGTGAAAAAAAAACGCGTAATCGAACGTGTTTTAGCCACGTTTTTTTTTAGGCCTTTCGCCAGTTTAGGCAATTTATATCGCTGTATTACAAACCGGATTCGGCAGTCTTTAAAAGTCATGTATTTTAGTTTTATTCAATTGCTAACTATTGACTCGTATCTTAGTTACATGTTATAAACACCACATAATTAACCATAGGGCTTATATTTAACTGTCCGCTAAACGACCAAGAAAGTAAAAAAAAAAAGGACATCAAATAAAATTAAAGTACTCGTTATTATCTAACAATTCGGTATTTAAAATGTAAATTCAGTGTGAAGATTCTTTAAAAATACAAAACAGAAACAGATTTTAAAGAGCACTCAGAGTTGACCCTGAAAGTTGACGTAATTTATAAAAATGGAAGTTCTTTTTCATTCACAAGAATAATAGGTGTAATATAAGTGTAATTTTTATTTTTTAGGAACAATTAAGTCTGCAGTAGTGAAATGTGACGATATGTTGTTGTTGTTGTTTAGAACGACTGTGCTCTTCAGTGCAATACAACATTCATATATCTGCTCCGATCATTCTTACTAAAGCTCACCATCTTTTATACACAAAATAATTTCCATCTTCAAGCAGGTAGTTAATATAATATCTTTGTTTTTGTCAAAACTAGATTTATTTTCAATGACATACGTATAAAGCTCTCTAGCAACCGTATATACAAAGGATTATAATACTCTTTTTCTTTTTCACAGATTAGTCTTAGAGCACCAATTTTCCAATTAGGAATGACTTTCATAGACGCAACGCGCTTTACTTACGTCTCACTTTTCTTTTCTTGTAGACTTCTGCTCATTTAGAGGAGAAGTATCAACTTGTGAACTTCGAGAAGATTGGCGTTTGAATGCCGACTCACTTTTGGCCATGTAATTCGAATTTCTCTGTCCCTTTGTCTGGTGAATAGAGTGCGCTGATTTCTCTTGTTGAACTTGTGTGGACGTTTTTGCTCGTATTGTTTGCAAACGTGATCGAATAATCTGAAGGTGGCGCTGTATGTACTCCTCCTTAGGTGCCAATTCTGCTGCCTGTACCAAACACTGTTCTCCCTTTTGTAAGTGTCCACGTTCTACGTGCACAACGCATAGATTGTGCACTGCTTGAACGTTTGTCGGCTCCATATCCAGGATCCTCTTGTAGCACTGAAAGCGTAAAGCGTAACTTTCAAACTAATTCTCTTACATAAATCGTACTTTTCAGGTACCTTAGACATTTTTAAAACAAATACTTTGACATGGAAACAGTAAAATAATCAATAACGATAAAATTAGTCATACTTAAGTTACAATTTCAGTTATGTTAAACCTTCCACTAAATGTCATTACTTATAACCAGTGTCATACAATTTAGCGTCAGTAGTTATTACAATGTTTGTAATTACCTGCTACTAGCGGTGAGGCTACTAAAAAGTAAAAGCTAATAAGCACTATGGTAGTAATATTTATTTAGTCTAATCTCATTGTGTCGACTGTGGTTCATTAGACGAGAGTTGAAGAAAGTTTTATTTCTTTGTTATTAAGCAGAAAGTTACACACATTGGTTCATCATGAGCTGTGGTTCATTAGACGCAAGTTGAAGAAAGTTTTATTTCTTTGTTATTAAGCAGAAAGTTACACACATTGGTTCATCATGAACTGTGGTTCATTAGACGAAAGTTGAAGAAAGTTTTATTTCTTTGTTATTAAGCAGAAAGCTACACACCTTGGTTCATCATGAACTGTGGTTCATTAGACGAGAGTTGAAGAACGTTTTATTTCTTTGTTATTAAGCAGAAAGTTACACACATTGGTTCATCATGAGCTGTGGTTCATTAGACGAAAGTTGAAGAAGGTTTTATTTCTTTGTTATTAAGCAGAAAGCTACACACATTGGTTAATCATGAACTGTGGTTCATTAAACGAGAGTTGAATAAAGTTTTATTTCTTTGTTATTAAGCAGAAGGTTACACACATTAGTTCATCATGAACTGTGTGTGGTTCATTAGACGTGAGTTGAAGAAAGTTTTATTTCTTTGTTATTAAGCAGAAAGCTACACAGTGGGCTATCTGTGATGTGCATACTGCGGGTATTTTTAGCGTCGTAAGCCCTCAGATTTAACAATGAGTCACCGTGGGGAGGGGGGCAGTTGAAAAAATACTGTTAACGCAGTCCAAAGTACAAGTTTAGTTGTTTATCATTGCTATTTACAATCAAACAAAATTTTCAATGAGCTACTTCAATAACACTTCTAAGAAATGTAGTTAAACGTAATTCATACGAAGTAATTAATTTACTTTGAAAATGTTTACAATTGCCATGAATTATTCATTTATTAATTATTAATTTCTGGTCAAAGCAAGCTATGTACTTGGAGTGAAACTAAAAATCATCACATTTATATTATAGCTAATTGGATACACCTTTCTTACGTTTCTACTTATCAATATTATAATGCATTGTTTCATCAGTTAGGTACCCCCATTGTTAACGACATTTTCGGCCGTAATTCCAACAATATCTCATGAGGTTCGGTCAGTTAAAAAAACTTTAGGCTAATCCTAAATACATAAATTAGGCTAACAATGCAAAACAATTTTATAATAAAAATATACTAATAAAAAATAAGTCAAATTAAAAAGTATTGAAGTTCGATATATTAAACAGTATGACCGATACTATTAATGAAAGTAACAATATATATAAATAATATAATATACCTGACTTAAGGAACACAGAAATACTAGCTGCATGATGATGTATTGCCTGATTATTAGTTAAGTATTTTTTGACTATAACGTAATAAACTTTTGTTTACAGTCTTGGTTCGTTTGAAGTGACACTCTTTTTAAATACCCCCCTCCCCAATGGCACAGCGGTGTGTCTGCGGACTTACAATGCTAGAAACCGAGTTTCGATACCCGTGATTGGAAGAGTACAGATAGCCCATTGTGTAGCTTTGTGCTTAATTACAAACAAACAAACAAACTATTTAAATAGTGTTTATAATTCATGGATTATTCTAAACGTTACAGGAAGTTAATAGTAACTCTAAAATTGATTTTATGAAACATAAAATCCAATCCTTGTGTACGTTTTTCTATATGTCACTACTTTATAAAATACAAAATCCAAGTGGTGAAAAAAATGTACAAACTACCGATTATTTCTGTTTCCCGCTCACAGAAAAAAATATACTTGTGATAATTCTATTTAACACGAATTTACTCACAAAATAAATATAATGTTGCCGCATAATGAGACAGACACTTACTTCTTCTGCTGCATCCAAGTCTCTCACGTGGTTAATGTAGATGTCTCCAAGAAGAATTAATCCTTTCACGTGGTCTGAGTGATACTGTTAAGAAATTAGATATGAGAAACTTTCAATACAAAATGAACTTAACTTTATTTGATAATTGCGTTAGATATCATATTATATTTACTCTCATTTGAGTTTGCTTAACCTTATGGGTCCTGGCATGCCCAGGTGGTTAGGGCTCTCGACTCGCATTTTTTGTGGATCGAGAGTTCCAATCCCCGTCCCTCCAAACTTGCTCGCCCTTTCAGCCGTGGGGCGTTATAATGTGACGGTCAATCCCACTATTCGTTGGTAAAAGAGTAGCCCAAGAGTTGTTTCATAAAGTTGTTGCATACAGGATCCCTCTAACATAGGACTCGCACAAAAATATCATCAATATTGCAAACAATGCGAGTGATTACTGCTTTGGTCCTGTATGTATTTTATAAAGGATACGAGTGAATTCCCCCAGTTTTATTGGTCATTTCTTTACAATGAGCGTTATAACAAGCTAAGACAGTGCTTCCAGAACTTTTGTCATCTATGCCCCCCCTTTAATAAATATGGTTTCTTGCGCACCCTTTCTTTTTCTTTTTTTAAATGAATGAAAGAACGAGTTAAGTGACGAGATATAATACAAAGATAACAAATTAAAATACTATTTGTGTTCTAGTAATTACTTATTATCTTAATTAATAACAAAAATATATTAAAATGCTTAACTTTGCATAATCGCCCGCGCCCCAAGATATCATTTGCGTCCCCCAACGGTAGTGAAGGGTATGTAAACAAGTCGGTTAACTGACGGTTAAACAGCTATTTCTATAGCTCAAAAAAGAGGGAAAACAGAATTTTCTCTCTTAATTTTACATACATTTTTTGTTGTAAATGAACACCTTCGTAAAACTGTCGTTTTATAATAACGGATGAATAACCAGAAGTTATGATGAACAAACAAAGTGAATTGGACAGCGACTGCCTAGTTCAGCGTGACACTCGTGACGAAATATTAGAAGATTAACTTACAAAATTAGCAAACAGATGGAAAAGGACGACATTTCGAAAGACTCTTGTCTTCAGGTATGTAGCACAGATGGAAGGGCCTCTAAGACTTTCATCACAAGTGTCACGACTAAACCATCTATAAAAAAGAACAGATATCATGTTAATGTTATACAAATACTAATAAGAATCATACGTGTATATTTAATGTTTTCCAGCGGCCATTATGGTTTCCATTTGTTTCGAAAAACATAGCTAGAGCAGTCGCTAATGATGTTCATTTTGACTACAGAAAGACACCTTTACTTAGTCGACAAAACAGGTGTTTTGGTAAACTTAAAATGGACTCTTACTGTCATATTACCTACTCAATTTTTTTAAGTTTCTCATATTACTCATTCATATAAGAATGTTAACTTATAAACTTCGTTATATTTATGTACACACATTTCTAATGGTAAGAAAAAAAAAAAACAGGCTCTTGCAGTTTGTGGTCAAAGCTTACCTTTAAAAGTTGTTTGAGAAAAGGCACGGCCTCTAGTGGACGGTGTGTGTCTGACAAGAGTAGCGCCAGATTAAACAATGCACTGCGAAAATCTTCCCTCACCTAAAATATGCATTCAGTTCAATTATTATTATTACCCTCATAATAAGAAAGAAAACTTCGTTTCAGAAATTCACGCAAACTACACAAGGGCTGTCTGCGCGTAACGTTCCTAATTTTGAAAAAAAGGCAGATTAAAGTTAAGACACGGTGAACCGTCGACTTTTGGGAGTATAAACCCACCAACTGTACCAAAGAACGCCGCGAGTTTGTGGGGCAACGGGTCGCGAACCATGAATCCTCGGATTCATAGTTCGTGCGTGTTAACACTAGGCCGAGCCCGACCTGTAACTAACAAAAAACAGTAAAATAATCAAAATGAAGAGCGGTGCATTTGATAAACTGTAAACTACGTTTAAAACTAAATGAAGTTTTGACAGGGTGTTAGGTTTTCGGCAATAGGTGATTCAATTAAAATGACAAATTAAGCGTCTCTGGTGGTTCGGCGGTAAATCAGAGGACTTTTAACGCTAAAAATCGGGTTTCGATATTCGCGGTGGGCACAGCACAGATAGCCCAATGTGTAGGTTTGTGCTTAACAACAAACAAACAACATTAATCGACTTGGAAATATGCAAATCATCTTGCCCTGACCTGTATAGCCAGATTTTGTTTATGTAAGAATTTTCTACGTTAACGAACACTGACCTCGACAGCTTTCTTAAACCAGGTTTCAGCTTCACGAAATCGTTTGTCATCCATTGATAACATCCCCAGGTTGAAGTACACGCGTTCGTTAACTTTCCGTTTTCTGAGAAGCAGCTGTAGCCTAAGCAAAAAAAGAAAGAAAAAGGGTTAAAAGTGTGTATGTGTGTGTGGGGGGCACTTTATATCGAAGTAGAATGAGAAGTGACCTCTACTGGCGTCTACAGGAAATTTAGCTAGTTTGTAACACCTAAAAGGTGTATGTTAAACAGGAACGAGCAACTAACGAAAGAAAAAAACAACAACAACAAACAAAACACACACGAAGTTCGGAGTTAATTATTGTCGCTTCCAGTAATCAATAGATAATATTCAACCGACAGAAAATTGTACCAAATCGGCTTGTACTCTTGAGACCAGATAGGTTTAAGTAATAAAAATATGATAAAGTTTTGTACTTTGGAAGGATATAGCATGTTGAGTAATTTGGGGGTTTTACCTATTGCAATACGCCGTATATAGGACTGACAAAAGTGGGTATAATTGATGAGTGAGAGTAATTACAATTTCGATGGTGTAATTTGTTGACATTTTTTATGTGGGTCACCCTGTATCCAACAAAGCATAAACAGTTTAGTAAAATGTGTTTAAAAAAGCCTAAGAATTGAACACTTTAGATAATTCCAGGATTAACCCACATTATAAACTAAAAACAAATTCAAATGACCTTCTTCATAATCTTATTGTATTTTATATATATATATATATATATGATGCGATATGTGTATCCTGTCGGTGGTGATTGGTATAAAAATAAGTCCTTAATTCGAGGGTTAAATAAATCAGCTTATCACAGTGAAGCAAGTTCATTGTCACTGCTCTTTCATCTAGAAAATTCTGATCGTGAAACTTGCCTTTTAGAATCTGGTCTGTCGCAGCTTTTCTCAAGCGAGTGTCATTAGCCTTGGATATCAGGTTTCACATGCTTCTCATACCTTATGCGGTACAACCTAAGTATCATATTGCTGATTCATATACAGTACGGACGCTTTCCAGCTAAATACTTGGGTTCTAGTCCTTTTAGAACCATCGTCTTCTCTCAAGATTGCTCAGTTCCATTGCGTGCCTTCATCTTGATCGAATTCTAACTCTTAACAGAAATTGTGTGTCACCATATTGACTATACTGCCGAGTGATTTCCATCTTCAGCATATCGTAAATGGGCACATATCTGGTTGTCTGTTTTAATTAACGCACTTCTCAAGTAATATCTTGAAGGTGACCTACCACTTTGACGTTAAGAAGCCATGACAGTATTTGTATTTGCACATATACTAGCAACGTTGAAATTATTTTAACTACGACCTCACAGAGTGCTATACGTATAGGTTTGAGTAAAGGGTCATCAAGCTCACAGTCTTGAGTTAGAAAGAAAATTGGTTTTCTTATATATGAAATATTAAACCGCAAAACGTGGTACGAGAATTGTTTAAAACTATCAAACCTGAGTATGATGAAAATCAAGGTTTATTTAAAGCAACAACAAAATGTTTTCAAATATATCGCAACACTTGGGCATATATATAATTTTATAAATATCGTGCAAATTTACACAAGGGCTATCGGAGCATAGCAGTCCTTAATATTCAAGTGATAAACTAGAAGGAAGGCTTGTTTGTTTCTTTGTTTATTTGAAGTTGAGCACAAAGCTACATGAAAGGCTATCTATGCTCTGCCCATCACGGGTTTCGAAACCCGGTTTCTAGCGTTGCAAGTCCGCAGACATACCGAGAAGAAAAGCAGCTAGTCAACAGCAATGCATTGCTTACTTATTGGCTAATCATGAGTGACTGAATCATTGGTGGGATTAGAAGAAGGTACCCACAGCCCAAAAGTATGGAGCGCGATTTGCGGCAATGGGGCGCGAACCATGAACCATTTTGAACAATCTGAAATAGTATATATATTTCTTTTTTTTTACTTCAGGCCACTGTGCAAGACCTTATAAGTCCTAGCGTACACAGATTCTTCAAAAACAACAAAAGAAGTCTATATAACTTAAAAGGACACTTACAGACAATAATCATTTTGGAAAAGGCCGCGGGTTGGCTATGTGTTATAGTTCTGGATTTCTGATCTGGCAGGCCTAGTTCGAATCCTCGCGATATCACATAATATCCCCTCCCTCATACCCAATCCCTTAGCGTGAATTTTAGGTGGTAGGGTATGCAGTTGATTGGCTGCATTCCCCTTGAACAGTAGCTTAAAATTAGGGGCGGCGTCAGAAAGCCTTAGTAGCTTTTGTCATAAGTGCGAATAGAAATTCCTTTCGGAAAAAAATTAAATCGCAATGCTATTAACTGCCTCTAAGATATTGAATTTTATTATTAATGTTACATAGATAATACTTTACAATGTATCATGTTAAAATGTACATTGTAATGGTCGCTGAGTTAACAAAGTTGTATCTCGTAACTCAAGGGACTCTTTGTTCACAGTTCTTTTAAAGGTTTCAGAACGAACTACACGTGGAAAAGATGTTTTTAATTATCTAATTTTATTGTATCAAGCATGTTTAAAATTTCAAAAGGCGTAAAGAATCTAATGTGGAGGGGGCTTCTTCCCTCTATCCGGGTGAAGGGTCCCTGTTCTTATATTAGAATTATTACACTGGGAATGGGCGATCCAAGCGTTTCTATAATATCATACTGTTAATGGGTCATCCAAGTATGATTCAAAATGATCATAATGTGAATGGGTCATCCAAATGCGTTTCAAAATTATCATATTGTAAATGGATCAACCAAACGTGTTTCAAAATTATCATATTGTTAATGAGTCATCCAAATGTCTTTCAAAATTATGATATTATTAATGGATCATCCAAGTGTGTTTAGAAATTATGATATTGACAATGGGTCATCCAAGTGTTTCTAAAATATCATACTGTTAATGGGTCATCCAAGTATGTTTCAAAATGATCATAGTGTGAATGGGTCATCCAAATGCGTTTCAAAATTATCATATTGTAAATGGGTCAACCAAACGTGTTTCAAAATTATCATATTGTTAATGAGTCATCCAAATGTCTTTCATAATTATGATATTATTAATGGATTATCCAAGTGTGTTTCAAAATTATCATAATGTGAGTGGGTTATTCAAGTATGATTCAAAATGATCATACTGTGAATGGGTCATCCAAGTGTGTTTCAAGACATGCAACATGTTTCAACAAAACAAATGTTCAAAATAACCATAAATATGCTTGATACATAAATTACGACGGAGTTTCTAAATTTTAAAAAAGGGAATATAACATCAATTATTCTTCTCCATATTGAGAAATTCTGAATTAAAATGTTTTACTTTGAACGTTTTTAGGGCCTTTGTTTGTTTGTTTGTTTG